GACAAGGACAAAAACCCAGACCAGGGTCTGTTATTGCCTCTCTAGCACAGCCAGGCAGTGGCAGACTCTGCCTGCGGCCACTGCATAGCCAGGCAGCACTCAGGGGAGGAGAGGGACTCCTTCTTTCACATCCACACTCCTTGTTTTCCGACTCCATTTTCATACCGATTGCAGATAAATGAACCTGATGTTTAAGTGCCAGTTAACGCACATAGAGCAACCACTTGTTTGCTGTTACTGCTTTAACTAAGGAGCATGTCACCATGCTAAATGTCAATCATCAGGTGTATTTACTGCATCATTTTAAAAGTGCAAGGTCGTGTAGACTCCTCTGGGAGGAGCCAGTCAACTCACCACGAACAGATCCAGACTCACATGATCTTGCCTTGTACAGGAACCAGGGAAGAGCAAGTTTTGTTCAGAACATGAAGCCAGTGTTGGCTTTGAAAATCAGGCGAGGGGATGCGTGGCATCACCTCAACACCAGTTGCCACTGCACCTGTAAGGAAATAAAGCAGCTGCCTTTACGTAGTTCTTACAGTTACCTACTCATGTTCTTGTCGTTTAGGGCCGTCTCATCAATACTGTGGGAAAAACGTTTCTCTCTGAGGTCAGTTGTCTCTACTAACATTAGTAAATAACTCCCTCTCCTAAACAGCCACTTTAGAAATTGCCGTTTCATGAGTCATTATGGGGCAAAACCAGCCTTCCAGCCTCATCTTTCCCGAGAGCCATCCCTGAGGGTCTGCTGGCTTGTTCCCCATGGAGTTAAACCAGCACACTGGCTTTCTCCACCAGTCTCCAGCCCGGTCTGAGACTTCGGGTTGGGAAGTTGTCAGAAATCAGCCGCTGCCTTTCATGATTGCCTGCAGGGAAGGTGGGTGCTGGCCAAAGGCATTTTTAAAGGTTGTGAGTTTGGCTTGAGATGCCAGTGGCCACAGAGACAACAGGAAAGGGATGTGGTGCCTGGTGGGTTTTTCCCATGGGGGAACCACACAGTCAGGTCCTGCGGAGAGGTCCTCTACCTTGCACCGCATGGGCTACCCCAGCTCCCAGTCCCGGCTACAGCGCTGCATGGGGAGGGACAAACACCAACACCGTTGCCATCAGTTCTGAGCGTGATGGGATTTTGGTCACTGGTCAGGTAGGGGCAAGTCAAAGAGGACCCTGAGGTCTCATATTAGTTTGAAAAATGAGGGCAATATCTTAGCTAGAAGGGGAAGGCAGAGTCCCAGCTAATCATTTAGAGTCCTGAGGTTGTGTCAAGCTAGTATTAGATATTATAAACACACAAAGAAATGTTCCTTCTAATGAAAAAGGAAATGGCAGAAAAGAAAAAAAGAAAAGGTTATTAGGCAATTAAAAGCTCGGACATTGAAAAGAGCTACTATTCGCCACCTTCTGTGGTATGTGCAGTCTGGTTCCATCAGGCAAGCGAGTAATCAGCCAGTGATTTGTGGAAGTCCTTTAAGAAAATAGGCCACTGCTGGGTGTGTGAGTAACTAATGCTCATTTGGTTTGTGTTTGAAGGCAGCAGCAGCAACAGTGATGACACAAATTAATTGCACGGTTTTCAGGAGATAATGCAGACAAGGTAAAGAGAATTACTATGCGATTAACATAGTTTCCAATTAAAGTCCCCTGTAGTTACCGAAAAACATTAATCCCTAGTAACTTGGTAATTTAACTTGTGTCACCACTGTACACAAGTGCACCAGGGCAACGTGTGGGTTTGTCTATGCTTAAGCCTTGTACGGGAAACATGAAAAAAAATCTGAAAATAGCCATTCGTTTTTAACAACTATTTGTAGCAGGCTTCAAATAAAACACCACGTTGGTAAACTAAAGGATTTGCTAGCAGATTAAAAGACCAAAAACCAGCTGCTGTCCTAGCACTGAAGTCTTCCTTGCCCTTAGTCAAAAAGGGAAAAAAAATATCTACTATTTAAATAAACTCAGCAAAGGTGTTTCAGCCATTACATTTCTTTATCGACAAGTTGCAAAAAGACTGAGACAAATGAAACTACTTCGCCCTCCCAGAGAAGTTTGCTGTTGGGATGGCAGAACTACATTTTTCTTTTCAACACTTACGTACTATAGCTCTTCTATTTCCATTTGACCACTTCTGTTACAAGAATACCAAACCGAAGGTCTTTTGAATAGCAGCTCATTTCTGGAGACACAGCTAGCCTAGGTGGGTACGTGCACACGCAATTTTCTAAAGCACCTGAACTTCAGCCAGCGGAGTTCAGGAAAAAGGAAAATTCATTAGCTTTTCTCTCAGATAAAGCTGCCTGTACTGCAGTGGGACAGAGTGGCCCATGATATATGTCTGTGCAGCAGACCAAGAGGTACAAAGGCCTGGACATGAAAAACTCGCAGAATTATAAGGCCTGAGCAGTTTTGGTTTAGTCTGATGACAAAATGCAGTCACCAAGTAGCGTCATTACCGTTTTCATCATCTGCGTGTCCAGAAACATCTCTGTTTTCACCTTGCCTGTTTCACAACTTAAGTGCACTCGGTGAGTGGTATGGGAAGAGTCGTTCCTTTGACATCTTCCCGATGGCCAGGCTTGATCCCAGTAATGTTATGAAGGCTGAAGTCTGCAGCGGGGCAGGATGGATAAAGTTCTTCAAAAGAGACGTGGGTCTTTGCCTATATGACTTGAGACATATATCAATGTTGTACAGTAACTTTCATTTAAAAAGATAAAAATACCACGATTGGGAAAAAAGTCCACTGTACAGCTGTGTATTTTCGTTAGTTTCACATAGCTCAGCACCACTTTCAACTTCATTACAAATACTGCAGACTCCTGTGCATGAAAGCCTCTGAAGCTTATTACACTTTATTATTATTACTACAACAACAGAAGCTGTAAATGGAAAAGACGTTATTGATTCCACTAATCTGCTGAATACAGATTGTTCTTTACCGTGCATTTGTTCGCCTTTGGGCCAGTCTGGTTTGTAACAGCCTTAGACAGTAAGACTTTCAACACTTCTGGGTGAGAATATTACACAGCCTCGTATTGCCCTGCAGGAAGCTTTTCCTTGAGCACCTTCCCCTTTCCCAAAGATGTCTGTCCTTTTACCATTCCCTGCAACTCCTCTCCCTCTCACCAGTGCACATACACTACCGATCTGTAAACTGTAGCGCTTCCCCCTTTCCCTAACCTCACGCTTCAGCTACAGAGTAACAAAGCCACTTAGCTACAAGTTAATCTTCCTTAAATCCATCCCTGCAGGCTCCTGATCGTTTTTCCTGTTCTTCTGTGCACTTTAATGCCTTCCTCGTGGAAAGGTAAGCAGAAAGGAGAGCGTCAGTGAAACCAGATTATACCGATTATATCCCCCCGCTCTGCGACAGAAGCTTTTAACGATGCAGCATAGGACTGCATTTGTTTTTTTTAAATGTGAAAGCAAAGTACAACTTCATGTCTAATTTCCTGTCCACTGTTACCCAAAGGAACACCTCAACGGTTTTGCATTATTTTTGCTGTGCCTACATTACCTTGTGCTTCAATAAACAGGAATCTTCTATTTTCTAGCTCTCACTGACATTCACAATTCTCCTCATTTTGACGTCTAAATTCCATAAATATGTTGTTTACTCCCTCTTCTGGGCTATTAATGGAAAATATTAAGTAAGATCAAGCCAAACATCCTCACATACATGCAGCATCTAAAAGTAATATTATGCCAATTATTAGTAGGATTCAACAGTGCAGAGGTTACTAATTTAGACAAATGATGTGTGGGGTTTTTTTTTCCTGAAAGCAAGTGAACGCAATCTCGCTTCGGCTTTTTTGGATTATTAACTCAATTAACACATGCAAATGCACACTCCAGCCCCGACACATACACATACTTGATCTAGTTCTGCCTGAAATCTATCTATTAGTCACTTCTTTCTCATAAAAGGAAAAAAGGTGCTTTAATGAATACACATGATGCTTATTATTTGGATCGGCAACATTTGTGCCTTCTGTGCCTGAACGGCACTTAGAATAGGTTAACATTTGGTTTACAACACAACAATAAAATTTGCCTTTATTGCAAATAAACAGAGTATTCACACCTTGCAATATTGTTTTAGATGCAGGATTATATTCACTCTTAGAGGATCTAATATTAATATAAAAGGCACATGCATTTAATGTTTTCACACCTTTTTTATTTTCCAAGCAGTGTTAATACGTATTTTAAATATTGCATTTACTTTGTTAAAACATGAACCTATTTATGTACATTTGTTTGCAATCTGAGAACACACACCATCAAGTAATCATTTGTACAGCAATAACATGTATCCAAAAAAAAAAAAAAATCACAGCCCCGAATTTTTGACATTCACTCCCCCATTTGCTTTGATTTAAAAGCTGCACTAATAAGAGAGAAGCCTCAACATTATAGTAGTTGAAACAGGAAACAAACACCGCTCTCTTCTAATAATTGTCTTTAGCTGCTTTGATTGGTTGCAGTTAATATTAATAGTATAACCTTTAAAAATTGTGGGGAAAGGTAATACTTTATCTTCGCTCCTCATATTAAGGCTCCAAAGCAAGCTTAATGAGAAACCATTATAAAATCATACTGCTAAATAGTATCTTAACTCACAATTCGGCCTATATAATTATATCAGTATTGCAACTGACAATTACTACTGATATATCAAACTTACCTTTCTTACACAGTGCTGCTCAGGATGTGTGTCACGATTACAGCCTTAACTATTATTTGGGCTTACGTAGCAAGACAGATTAGAGTTCTACCCTTACCACATGAATACAGAACGCAAATTTTACTTACAAACAGAAATAACGTGGTCTCAAAACCTATGGATATGCGTCCACGACATAAAACCCACACGTATCTGGCAGCCTCTGCCCAGGGTTTGTCCTGGACTGACGTGACATCAGGGTCACAAGTTAGGCTTTAGGGACTGGCCAAGCTTTTTAAGAGGGCAAGACCAGGACATAGGCACATTTCAGCACACCTGGCTCTAAACAATGCCTTCTGTCTTCACTAGCACAACGGGACATTAAACTCATCCAACTAGCAGTGAACAAAAATAATTAGTAAGTACATTTATAAATGACATTTTAAAGACTATTAACATATAAAACATTATCATCTTTATGAAAATAGACCAATTTCAGCACAAGCTTGCCTTTTTGGGGGAGGAGGACACATACATTTTTTTATTTTTTAAAAGGCAAGTGTTCTCCTGGACAGCTGCCAATAATCTTGTGCAAAATGTCCTTAAAGCAAGACAAACTCCTCTGTACTAAATCTTTTTAATCTTTTCTTTTCATCCTCAGAGAAAAGGTCATTTTCTTCCCGGAGTGGACTGGAAGCAAAGTCATAGTCTCTAGAATGACCCTTTACAAAAGTAAACAAGGGATATTTTTCCTTAGATGAAGATTTCAGCATCTACAATGTAAAACACATACCAGATAAAACGTTAATTGGAAATGAAGAAATATAGTAAGTAGTGATATTTATCTGATGATGACTGCAAAGTAAAAAAACCCATTTTTTATTATCATCATATTAAAAGAAAAGCATTGCACGAGCTAAACATCCCCTCTTCACGTTAAACAAACATTTACTTCCATTTGTTCTTCAGGTAGCTGCTAATTTTATGCCTAACCCTGCATCTTCTTCTATATAGACCACCTCTACGTGCTGTTTGTTTCAGTGCAGCTGGAGCTCTTGTAGGAAGATAAAAAACTCTACAAAATAGTTAACGGCCATAACACTCTCCTCAAGCACAGGAATGAACTCTGCAGCAACTAAGCATCTCAGGGAGATATTTTTATTGTAGAATCAGCATGTACAATAATCAATGTTTTTTAATAAAAGTTTAAACACATACACCTATGTAAATAAGCCAATCAAGAGCACATGGCTAAAAACAGACTGACAACAGTAACAAGCTGTGGTAACTAGGGTGCCAAAAATCTACATTTATAAATACGAAAACTGAGCATGTAGAAAGCGGGTGGTGGGGAATGATAAATACTACAACAGATCAGCAAAATACCTTTAATAGCAGATAAAAATCTGCCAAATACTGAGAGACATTTCAGCCTGTTTTGGACACTTAACTGTTCACTGATTTTTTTTTTTTAATTATTATTTTAATTTCTTCATTTCTTTGAAAAAACAGCACAGTGGTACAGTGACATGCAGAATTACATTAGCTTAGAGGTATACACTGTGTGGAACTAAAATCACTGAACATAACTTCATGAGAACAATTAATATAAAACAGTAAAAAAACCTAAATAGGTCTTTAAGCAGTAAGGACTATTTAAAAAAAGACAGTCAGGGGCTGAAGGGGGTGTTTTTTTTTAAAAAAAAATTACACTCAGTAAAATCCTTGATTTTTACTGTAGTCTGAAATATTCTTGTCTATTTTAATTGCATTTGGCTATTGTAAAAGAGCAAGGAGCTATGGGAGAGATACGCACACAGTAATAAGCAAAAGAAGAGTAACAAATGAGCATTAGAAAGAAAAAACATTTGTAAGATGTACAAATGCTTTGTTTCTCGAGAAGACTAGACAACTGGATGCAAACCCTTTCATCTCTAAGGGTTGAATACAAGCTGGCTTAGTAGCAACAGAAATTGATAGCCACGTGAAGGCTGTTTGCTGGTCTGCAAAGCAGACAGGTGGACTTCGGCCAGCTCCTAACTGCAAGTTCGCAACAGAACACTCATCCGAATACTGCATCTCAGGGAATGCATGGTGACCGAACAACCATCACACCTTTAAAGATGGTCCCTCCAAATCAGGTCAGAAATACACCTGCAGTTCCACTGCCGTTGTCTGTGTTCAACTCTCCCTGAAACTTCCTCCTGTACAGGTACATGTAATACCTCTCTCTGTGTACTAAGGGAGGTGATGAAATACTAACTATAGAACATAAACTGGACAGACAGGCAAACGCCTAAACAAGAGTCCAGTGGAACTTGGTTAAGATTACTACAATTATTATCAAGCTACATCTCACTCAGTGATCACAGATAAGTTGGAACTCCAAAGAACTTGCAAGTTCTTTAGATACCACTGTGATGATTTCTACAGAGTTTATTGGTAAACATCAGAATTTTTTAATATTTCAGTGTTAGACTCAAACTGCCACTGTTGTCACTGCGATTATTAATTCTTTGTGCTGAACTGCATCCAAATTCAACACTCAATCAGTCCAGTTCTTCAGAGAACTTTTCATTTCTGCTAAGAACCTGGGCTACAAACAGGCAAATGCAGTTGTGGCCCAAGTGGATTACTTATTTGACGTCATGAGTTTTGATAGGGAAACAATTCACTGCATTAGCAGAAAGACAAGCTTGGTACCAGTTAAATAACAATGTAGAGTAGCAGCAGAGGCTGCGGCTGGGAAAAGGCAGAGCCATCCCAGGTGCCGTGCAGAGGCCAGAGCTTCTTGCTGACCTCTTGCTTCTGCTGCATGGTGTTGAGAAGTCAGACAGAAACTGCTGTGCCTGCTCGGTATTTGTGCTGGAAGTGCAAGACAGAAGTAAGACTACAGCCAGTCAGTAAATCCATCCTTCTTACATCTGGATGTGTTTCTAGGTCTCCTTAATCTATCAGCTATTTAATTCCAGGTATTGTTAAACTACTTAACAACAGCTGCCTAACGAGCAAGTACAGAAACAAAGGGTAGCTTGAATGTGACTTGGATGGAGTTTCACCAGTCACTCCATTTGGGCCCTTGACTTCAATGCCCTAATTTCTCTGTCGCTGAATATACAGCTCATAAGGTTTATCCTCAAGTAATAAAAGCTAAATCTTTTCTCCCACCTCTTATTGCCCACAAATGCAGCAAGAACCTGAACTTTTTAGTCTAGCCTACATAGGGCGCACTGGGAGTATACTGTGCTTTATAGTTCAAGAGTTATGGCACTCAAATTGCAAACAAAGGGAAAAACAACGGAAGAGCAGGAAAAAACAAAGGATGTGAAGGAAGGATTGAAATATCATAGAATGTTTCTCATGTTGTATTTGTATCCAAACTTTCCTCTATTTTCAAACGTACTGTGCCTGAAATACATTTATATAAAATAACGTCACTAATATTAAAGAACTTCTATCTAAAATACCAGCATAATAGCTCTAAGACTCAGATCAGCCATGAGTATTTTCACAACATATGTTCAGAAAAAGAAATGTACTTAATCCCAAACTTGAAAGAAAAGAAAGAAGGGAAAAACAGAAAGAGAACATCCAATGCAACTGATTTTCTAAGAAGTTGTTTTTTTTTTTTTTTTTACCACATTATTGCATTCTTTCTTATACCTGATAGAACAAGAAAGCATGGAAGAATAGAAACTTCACTATTTAAACTTTCCATATATCTGTTGCTTAGGAACTTCTACTTCTTTAAATCTGTTTTCTACCTGTCTGTGTAAGAATCAAAGAAACAATTTCAGCATCAATCAATATCTATTAAAGATTATATACAGTATTAAGTTTAAAAATGCTTTTTTTGGCTGTAATACTAATACCACTTAACAGGACATTCAAAATGCTGTACGAACATTAATTCTTTGCGCTGTTGTGATAACTACCGTGGTTAGAATATTAATATTGTGACCATCTTCTGCTGCCGCTGCATCCTTTCACAGACTTTTTTTTTAAAATCACAGAACACAGTTGTTTGCTACCATAGCTAATACAACATATAAATAATGCTGTATTTCATTCACTCACATACTGTAATAATCAAGGGAAAAAACCCGTCAATTACATTTGGACCTAAATGAACCCATACCAGCGTTTTTCAAGGGGAAGGACAAGACCGGGCAGATTTGCCGGGCGATACCCGCTCCGTAGGCTTCAAAACGTTGTTACCAAATCCTAACCAGGCTGCTTTACATTCAAACGCCATCAGAAAGCGCGCTTACGCTAACGAGAACTAATCCACAATTTCGGCTCGATCAAACACTTCCGCGGGATCGATCGCCGCCGCAGGATCCCCCCGGGGCCGGGGCCGGGAGCGACCCCGGCTCTCCCCAGGTTTTACGTACAGGTAAAATCGGATGAGATGAAAACCAGCCTAGATTTCTCATGATTAGAAAAGCAGCGATAAATATCAAGAAAAGAACGACGTCTATTTAGAAGAGCGAAGCTGATTCTCTCCCCTTATCCATACGCGGCACGCGCACGCCGTTCTGGCTGAGGAATCGATTTGGTAACGTCGACACCTACCTTTGTTATTTCTTCAGAAGCCTTCTCAAAGTCCTGCACAGTTCTACAGTAAAATCCTATTGTGCAGCTCGGATCCATTTTTTTGAATGACATCTTTTTGGGAGAAGGACAGTGGAATGACTGCAAGTTTCAGGATTAAAAAACATGAAAGACATGGTTAAGCTTGAGAATGGTATCGACCTATGCATTTACTTTTTTTCCACCAGCAGCTTTAACATACAGTCCCCTGCATCACTTGAATTAAAAACCAGCACATACTTTTGAAGTAATCTCTTCCACCCCCTCTAAACATCCGAGTAATTCCACTCTTCTCCACATGTATAAAACCTCCCGCTGTTTACACTGCATTCACCAAACTTGCACACATCATGTTAGTTTGAAATCTGTCAAAGGTCTGCCGCTCTGAGCAGTACTTTATGAATATTCCCAAGGCAGAGGAGGTGAATGCTCTTCCGCAAATTGAATTTGTAACAGCTTTTGCACTATCTTACAATTACTGCTTTACTACCACCACCCATTGCCCCTTTCCCTCCCTCAACCTTTCTAACAGAGACATAATGGGATAAACCAACCTCATGCATTTTCCTTTAGTAAATGAAATTGGTTAGAAAACCCACAAAACCAAAACCATATTACAGTAATCCACAAGTCAGAAAAACACAAACAATATGCCCTGCTTTATAAATGTTTTTTTTCCTAATGTGAAACCTCTTTTTCTGACAGATGATGCTTTGACAGTGCTGTGAACTACCAGCAGCTATACGATAAGAAAAGACAAATATACAAAACCCTTCCCCACACTCCTCATTCGCAGTTTATGAGAGAAAAGGCAAGGATATGCTATCTACCCTGATTAGGTGTTTGTTTATCACAGGAATTGTAGTTTTGGTGAAGCTCATTGTCTTAATAACTGAAATGAATTGGTCACCACTGACTGTCTCTCAAAGGCAGTCCTCTCTACTCTGCCTCTAACATGCGGGACTACCCTGTCATCCTACCTCTATTAAATCACTAGCAATCCTGCTACAGCTGCTCAGTAACAAATGCTAACATACCGTGCCCGCACCGCGCTGCAAAAGAGATACCACTGTACTAAAACACAGATTTTGTTTTTCATGAACTTCCCCCAGTGATCAATATTCTCCAGTGAATAGTCTGTGCTATTTCCCTTCCCACTGACACGTAAGCTGCACACAGCTCACAGCTCTTCTGGCACAGCGCTGGTCAGCACAGGACCCGGACAGCTTACCAACACAACAGTTAACACCAGGACAGAGCAACGCAGGAGATTTCTTACCAGCACCCCTGTGTTCCCTCTACAAAGGATAACTAACAACTGTTACAATCTAATTTGACTATAGCAACAGCAACCCCCGACCGCTAACATCAAGCAGTCTGTACACTAGAAACCCATTTTATCTTTTTTTATCTTTTTTTTTTTTTGCCAGACAGAAAAGTCAATCTACAGAAAACGACAGCACTAGTTACCTAATCTGAGTGTATCTGGCAGTGTAATAGTTTTACATATTGAACTATATTGTTCTTTACTTGTGATTACAAACCTGAGAGGTATTTCTATTAAACCTCTGCTAAAAAATATAAACAAAGACGAGAAGTACTATTTCTACAAGACTGGTTTTAGTCACTGTTTTTTCTCCTAATTCTGTTCAAATTTTATCTGCAGAAGTTGTATTTTGAATATTCATTCCTGAGTCATCCCATACATAAAGCGAACCCTGCCTTACATATCACATCTCAGGAACAACATTGTAACTACTGTTGTGCTGTACTGTTCAGGGCTGGAGTCTTAATGCTACACAAATCACTGTACAACAAAGAGAAGTGGGTAGGCTTTTTCTTTTTTCACTCCTCCAAACAAATGGATTCTGGAAGCCAATACAGAGTGGATTGATTTCCAACTTATTCTGGACAATTTGTCAATTTTGAAAATACTCCCTACAGATAAATCTAACAAGCAACTATCCACACTAAGAAAGCAATTTCTGTTTACTTTTGACATTTCTGGACAAAGATATAATACTATTAAATGCACTAAGCATTAAATTGCAATATATTTTCCGTCTGCAGAAAAGCATTAGGATGCGATCAAGCCAAGCTGGCAGCTTGCGTACCTTCAAAATACATTTTAAAACCTTATTATTATTTGGAAATTCATATTAATGCCAGTCTGCAGCACAATCTGGAGGATTAGTCATGGGAACAGAAACCAAAAAGATGTGGGTTTTTTGTAGCTTGGCCACTGAGCTACGGTGTGACCTTAAGGAAGTCACTTCAGTTCTGCTTCTTTGTGCTCTTCCCATCTTTTGTCTGGCTTACCCAATTGAACTAAAATCTTCAGAGAAGGCACTGTATTTTACTACAGTTATTAGCATAAAGGGGCAAGGATCTTGGTTAAAATCTCTGGCTGCTGCCACAATACATATAGGTAGAGCTGCGATTCACCAACTCTTCTTCCAAATATCTCAATAGGGTCAATCTAAAGGCATGTCTAAAAATAATGGAAGTTTCTGCCTAGGATATTTTCTGATACGTTTTGCTGCTATGTTCCTTTTTTAATTCAGAACCTTCTCATTTTCTAGAGAATCTTATACTTCTATATTATATGTCATGCTAATTAAAGCATCTTGTTAAGCATAAATACTGAAAAATATGTAGTGTTTGCTTTAAGTTGGCCCTAGGATTTGACATTTGCCCTGTGTAAGTCCTTTGATACATGTAAGTACTTTTCCTAAATACTATTTGATGGTATTTTGATTAAGGTATCCCAATCAACTTCAACGTATGTTAACAGATCTTTCTTTTCATGGTAACAACAGACAGGATCATTGCAGTTCACTCCACTGTTCTCAGTTTAAGTTAACTCTTAGCTGCTACACAAAACAGAAGCCATGAAGAAATATAACTTCATTACACACCATCTGACTTACATTCTAAGTGTACACAATCAAGATCACCTACTCACTTCCTCAAGTGTGAGTTTAAGAGTTGCGTATGACTCACTTCCACTGTTTACAGGACTTCACTGCAAACCTTTAAGAATTCTACACTAAGTAGCTAGTATTTCCATAGCTAGTAGCTATGGAAATAAATACATATTCCTCTTCCTTATTTAAATGTAAGATGTTGTTTCTGAAGCTGTGTTTCCACATTTAGGAGTACTTGACTTCACAGAACAGAGTGGCATGAGGAACCACTACTAATAACCAACTCTGTTCTAGAGCAGTTGATGCCATCCTAAGCACTGGATGCACCCAGAGAGTGTTTCTACACTGAATGAAGAGCTGCTCTGAGGAGGCTGGAAGTTCACGTGGAAGTTGGACACAAGATCAAGACGGAGAGTGTGCGTGGATGGCACCGAGTACTTCTACTGTGAGTACTGTGGCTATCGAACGCTTACTTCTGCAACTGACAATGTTTTCCCATGGTACTTGTAAATTGAGTTCTTTAATAACCTCCTTCAGCTCTATCTATTTTCAATGCAAGTTATTTGGCAAGAGGTTAAAGAAAAGGGAAAACACTATTGTAAAAAAAGCAAGCATGATTTTTAAGACCTAGGCATAGCCTGGAAAGATGTATTCACTACATCTAGATGCACCCAGAAAGTCATGACCTAGAAAGGGGTCGGGGGGAAAGAAAGAACAAATGCAGCACCTATGCTTTCAGACCTGTCAGTTTCTTGGAAACTGCTATTCCATAAAAATAGCTTGATTAAAAACAAGAATAAAACTTGTTAGAAGAAACAGTTCAGAAGACTTGAGTAAAATTAATCTCGTCAACTACAAACCTCACTGATAAGCCTCAAAAATTTCCACTTGTACGAAGCTAAAAAAGCCACCTCCAAAGCTGTTAGGTGCAAAAGTTACATTTAAAATGATGTTTTACAATATTACGAATTCCTGGACAAAGAAGCAGCAGGTAAACCTATAGGAACTCTGGTTCCAACCTGACAACAGGCTCCTACTATTGAATACTACAGTAATTCTCTCAATGATGTTGATTGCAACTTGAATTTAAAATAAAATAAAATTGACCAAAAAGACAAACTAACAAAACCAAATCCAAATAATTCAGGTTTAAGTACTCCAAATATTGTCTATTTTCTTTGATGGAATATTACTTAAATGAAGTGATCATCTATTTTTGAGGTTTTCTGATCATTAAAAAGAAACAGACAAAGATTAATGAAGTAAAAATTAACACCCCATATTGAGTTTTTAACCTCTGGTCATTTTTGTTGATTATAGGCCTATAAAGAAGGGCAGAACTTTGATAAATAACATGTAACTGTAAACCCATAAAGATGCAGCTAGCTAGAACATCTCTAAATAATTAGTGTGTGATTCATATGGGAAGAAAACAGTGCCAGGTCTATATCCATACTACCTCAAGAGGGAAATCCTTTATGCTGACATCTACAAAAGATTGGCAGTAATGAGGATCCATGTAAATCAAACTGTCATCTACAAGGACAAAACAGAAGACAAGTAATTCAAAAAACACCTTATTATTACACTGCTTACAATCCAATTTCTATGCAGAACAGCTGAAAAAAAAGCCAGCAAGTAACTGCTTGCCAGGCTGACATTCATTGACTGAAGCATAGGTTTTTGCAGGACAGATTAACTTTTGCATAATCAAATATGCTTGTATAAGCAGAATTTTTATAAAGTGATGAGACTGTCATTTAATTTTTGGTGATAAAATTACTTTTACAAACACACAATTATATTCTGGAGTTTGCATATGAAAAATGTATTGTGCTACTTCATCCTGACAGGAAGAATATATTGCTTGTCATTTAAGCATCAACTAACACCACTTAAACTAGTAAAAAGTAAATACGTAAATAAGAACTGCCAGATAGTAACAGCAAACGCTCCTGAAGTTTGGTGAAACAGAAAAATTATGCCTTGTTTATGCAACAAGGGAAATTAAATGTACATTTTACAGAATCCAATTACTATATGGGGTAAATGACAAATGACTGGACTTGGGTAGATATGATGAATTAATAAGGTACTCATTTTGCTATTTTAATCATGCTATTTCCCACTGGTTCGATATTAACTTCCTAACTCTTAAAGAAAAATATTGAAGAGACATAACATATTAAAACACTAACCTTGAAATCCAGCAAAGTAATATGACTGCTTGGGTTTGCCACCAATAATACCAACACAATACTCAAGGCTTAAAATTCCCTATAAGCAGAACATTAAATAATTAGGACAGTGTTAAACAGAGTAAGTATCAAACTGAATTAAAATCTTTGCTCTTTCTTCACTGTTTTCAGGCAAATAACTTTTTTTCTTTTTTTTAAAGACTGACTGAATGATTTTCTGGGGCTTGACTCAATTTTTAGACACTTACAACTGACCACAGTGAACACGTACCACCAGATATTCCAGAGAAACTCCTCCCTTTTCATGAGATGCTCATACGTTGAGACAATTGGCAGTACCATTTCCAGGGAGGAGACAAAACATGATGTCACAGAACTTGAGCACAGGTTGCTTAGTCAAAAGGTATCAACGTATTCAGATTTACAGAGTTCATATACATTTACATTCTGTGGCCCCAGGGGTTCCCTTCTTTTTGCATTCAAGTGTAAAAGTCTGTCTAGAGTATGACCTTGTACATCATAGGAAGAAATGCCAGTTGAATCAAGAAAGATACAGCTCTAAAATCAACAGCCCAAAATACCGGAGGAGAGACAGACAACAGACAAGCCCCATAAATTCTAGCGGATGTTGACTGTGGGGGTAATCAGAACTATCAGTATGTAGCAACTTTGAGAAAGAGACATTACAAATACACTTAATGGGATTTAAAGGGGGACACGGGGTGAAATACAGGAATCGTTTCAGTCTGGGGGTGTACATACAGAAAGAAAGATACTCCTCCACCCATGGCAAAGCTAGGAGCCACCAAGGACAGAAACAGTTGAGACATCAACCATGGGCTACAGTCACACCAATGATGCCAGCGTATTTCTGTTCGTTTAGGGGTAAAAGAGTTGGGTTCTGTAATCCACGTGTCTGTGCTAGCACACAAAGCTAGCAGGCTTGTAATTACATAATAAAATGTTGATTTTATGGATATACCTTCTAGTGCTGGGGAGAAAGATTTACCTGTATACACGCAATTTTGCCAAGGTAAGAACATTTCAGTAATTTAACTGACTGAAATTCCTCTATCACCCACGAGCTCTGGATGCAGTCACAGACAATGGACACCAAAGAAAACACCTGTGATCACTTCTCTATTAGAAGAACTTAGCAAAGGAATGGAAGAAGGCACAGAGGATTTCCCTCCCTCTTGCTTCAACATATTTCTACTCTTCTCGCTTTCATGAGGTTCTATTTCTTACCAGGCCTCATTAGGATTTTTGTGAATATTCAGTCTTGGCTTAACGCAGTTCTCCATTAGTTATCCCACCGACTCCAGTGGGAGTTGAATTTTGCCAACATTGAGCACTTCGGAAAGCTGAGCCCAACTGTTCTAATGCAACTGAAGCCCAAGACCATTAAATACTCTGAAAACTGAACAGCCTTTAAATGTCCATAAATCACAGCGGTTTTCTAGTGGCACTAGAAAAGTGTTGGGTCCAAAAACTTGGGTGCTGGCCCAAACTGGGACAGCAATCCAGAAGACTATCAGTTGAGCTAAAGTGAAATCTCCATTAGCTGGCAGTCATATCTATATCCTCTCCTCTAAGAGATCAACCAGTAAAAGTATAACCATTACATCATCATTGTATAAGTAGGGAAAATTTCTCTCAACAAAATGATTGCTATTTCATGTACTAATAAGACCAAAGCTTCCCGAGATAAAATTTTCTTGGCTTAGACAATGATGAAGTAACGTAACCTAACAAAAGCCTGCTGTACTCCTCACCTGAGATGCTAACAAAGTCAACTTCAGCATTGTTTACACGGGTTAAGAGAAAGTGCTGCTTATTTAAAATATGAATGAGAAGGCTTTTTTTAGAAAATGCTCCTCGATAGCTGAGCATTACAGAACATTTAGGCAGATCAGAGGCAAAGGCTGAAACAGCTAAGGAGGACACATCCTCTGCCAGTGAAAGAGAAAGGGAGCAAAGCTACTTAGAGTAATGAGTAACTGTTTAATCTATGGGAATTTTCTTGTAAAAGTGAATTATAAAAAATTTATCAATTTTCATCCATAAATATAAAATCCTTCGTAAAAATTACTTCTTGTACTACATTCTAAAATCTGCATTTTTAACTTAAATCCAGACCCCAAGAAATTTAGTCGCTTCTGGTGAACAGTCAAGATAGAGACTGGAGTGACTAATATATGCAATTGAAAGCCCTCTTATCACAGTCTCCATTATAACGGACTGCAAAAGGCAGTGCCAGGCTTGGTAAATGAGCAGCAAAAATCACCCCAGTAAAGCCAGTTGTACAAGGCAAGCTTACATAACGTGACTGTGCTATGAAAACCAGTGCCACGCAAACATATTTTACTCTGGCAAAAGAGTGTTTTTGAGAGCTAAATTGGGGAAGCCTCTGCAGGGTAAAACTAGCCATAGATATCCGTCAATAATAAGAGCCAGTATTAAAGAACTGGAGTCACTTTTCTTTTGCTGAGAAAGCCTTATGAAAGTTGCAGAAGCAACTGTTCGTTAGTTTACAAACGAAGGCACCGTCTGTTTTCCTGGACATGACTGATTCAAAGGCTTTTTTGCAGTTAACATTGAAAGTAAAGTAAGGTTGCTGTAGAACATGTCTGCGACCCCAGGCTTATCATAGCTGTCAGAATTAATCAGAAAAGAACTAAAACTTTCCAAACCCATCTGAAAATACAAGGAAAAGAATCAGGAAAGAAAAACAATTTATTAGTTCCTCACTTAAATAAAAGGCTTCATCACTCTGTCTCCCCATGCCATTAAAAACCAAACGTGTTTCCTAAAATTTTACAGAGAAGACACAGTCACAAAAAAAAAAAAAAAAAAAAAAAAAAAGATGTAAAAGACTCCCAGATTTTTTAAACGACACAAAATTGGAATTAAACTCCTAGGCAGCGCCAAACCCTCTCATTTCCCCACATCACTCCTTTTCTCCCTTATCCTCCCCCTTTTAGCCTCACATCCTTCACAGGGAAGCTTGTGCTCAGCTGCTACTGATAGCCAACGCTATGGACTAAGCACAAACCCTTGCTCTCTTCCACAGGAGAAGACAGCGCCCTGCAGAGCTGCTCGCGGGTGCAAGCAGCTGCCCCACCACCACCGCTGCAGATGCATCCCTCCCCAGCCAGCACAGCTGAACACACACCGTCCCACCTCGCCTCCCTCCTTGACCCTCCTGCAAGGCTCACCCTACAAGCGTCGAGCCTCTTCCCAAAGCAGCACTGCCTGCACTTATTGGTGTGGGGCTGTGACCAGCCTCGAGCAGGGTTAGCTTAAAACTCCCCTGGCGCGGCTCGATGCTGCTTTGTGAACTTCTGGTGTGCCTCTGAGCATCTGCCCTCTGCCCTTTCCCACTAAATGAGAGTCTCCCAAAAGGCAGCCAGTATTTGCCGATCAAAAACAGAGGAAACAAAGCAGGGTTGGAAGTTTCCTAAAAATTTAAAAAAAAAAAAAAAAAAAAAAAAAAAAAAAAAAAAAAAAAAGAGATGTAACAGACTCTCAGATTTTGTACATGCTACTAAATTGTGGTATTTTAAAAATTAAAACAAGAATTTAAAGAGCAGCATGGAAAACGATAAAGCAGCAGGGCTGAGAGAACAATCTCTTCCCTAGGAAAAGTATTCTTGCGCTCAAGAGGTAGGATTACAGAGCATCTTTGGGTGGTAGCACCATAAGCAGAACCTCTGCTGGAAAAAAAAAAAAAAAAAAAAAAAAAAAAAAAAGAGGACAGCATAGACTTTCCTCCCCTCCGCTTTCTCCTTGGGTTTTACTTTTTTCCAGTTTGTTTTTATTTGTAGTAACTGCTTGCTAGTCCTGCATCACTGTCCTTAGAAACATTCATCCTAATGTCCAGATAGTGAAAAAACACTTGAACTAGTGACTAAAGATATAAAAAAATTCTAACCCCTCTCTTAAGGGGAAGAAAAAGACAAAAGAAAATGGGAAGAACAGACAAGCAACAACCTTAAACCGTTTGATATTTAAGAAAATAAGGAACAGAGTAAGGAATTTGGTATATTTATATTTTAAAATGCTGACTGATACTTAATATAGCACAACTCTAATAGCATATGTAACTAAATTACCATTTGTAATTTGAGCCACTGCATTAATGTCTGTTCAGGTAGCTACTTTAAGAGTAGGACAGTTATCACTGCTTTACCAAGGGACATCATGTGCTCTGCAATTATGTCTGATCTTGTAATAGGGAAATTTAAAATCTGTAAAGTCAAACTTTACAACCTTCAACTGTAAAATCACCACCACACATTTAATAGGTAGAAGATTACCATCATGAAGTCGCTTTTCATATCACCTAGTGCTACTATTTGAAAAACGATTGAACCCTCATTTCATACCTTTACAAACTCTAAGTAGTCCATGTTTGTTCTCTCTCCACCGAGTCTCACAGGAACTAATATAATTACAGCTTTTGTGTCTGCTTTTCCAGAATCCATAAAAGAACACTGTCTGTCAATAACATCTGAACTGTAGACTGAAAGGAGACACATGGAAATATTCATATTTAAAATATTTATAGCTTTTACAAAGACACACCTACAACATGGCATCACTTAGTCTGACACACTAAAACTACAGTCCTTCAAAATATTACTGTCCTCCTGAAATATAACTCTTGAGCGACTGATGAAAAACAGTGTTATGCCTCCTTATTTTCAGCCATATTTTGTAGAATGGTAATGTGCTGCTGCTGAGATAAGATACATTGTCAGGAAAATGCAGAAGGGGGAGGTTAGGAGAAAACCAATAAATATTTAGTCACTTGATATAAACTTCTTCTAAAAGGAGTAATTTAAAACTTGAAAGCCTACAACTAACAGAAACATCTACATGTTAAAGGAAAAAAAGACAATAATTGATTTTAATAAATACTCAAGTTCACTGTCTAAAGTTAACACAACACAGTCACTGAAAATGAGTGAAAAAACTTAATGTAGAATTATTGCTTATTCCCTCCAAACTAAGAGAGATGTGAAAAGTCATCACCAGAACAAAGAAGTGAAAAATTAATAGAATTTTAAAAGTTTCCACTGTCATTGTAAGTCAGGTGAAACTGGTTTGTAGCATATGACTAAACAGCATCTCTTTAAAACCAGTTTGATTGATTACTCAGGGATGTCGGTCTCGTCTGTCCTACCCCAAGATCGGTTATGACATAACTAAAATTTCTGGCAGCTAAACATGGCTACTGGAGTAATACATTGTGCTTAGATTTGAAAGACTATAGTCATTAGTGTAAAGTTTCACCACACGTTTAGTTTATCTTGTCATCATTTTCTGCTCCTGAACATTGAGAGCTCTAAGCTCCTCTGCCCGTTATTGATTATTTAAAATGCCATGTTGGAGCAGAAGAAAGGTTACCACTGACTCGGGTTCACTATCCTGCTCGCATCTTTGAACTCCAAGCAAAAATGACTTCCTACTATTCTACGAGACTGGTGCAGTGGTTTTTTTTTTTTCCACTAGAAAAATGGGCAAAAAATAATCCTGTGATGCAGAAGACAAATAAAATATAACAAACAAATCTAACTGCAGTATTTTTCAGTTGTTTGGTTGGTTTTTTGGGGTTAGTTTTAGTAAGATATGGAAGTTCTTACTAGCTTATTGCTAAAACAACATTGACGCGAATATAAAACAGATTATTAACTGATTTAAATCCAAATTAAAAAGTTACAACAGGCAGACTGTAAGGAAAAGTTATCTTGCTGGATTTGGAATTCCACTATCTTCCACTATAAGATAACAGATAAGTAATGTAGGAAGCTTTCAAGTTGTGATGCCTGATTCTCAAAGAGAACAAACATCTGCATATATCAAGAACCCCTTTGTCTACATAATTTCAATTTTGTGGATCCACTTTTGAGTTTATTTTTTTCCTTTAGAGCTCTATTGTTAAGTGCTTACTGAAAGGCATAAAAAGCATCTAAAATGTTTGCAAAAATCTACATAATCACAACATTTACCTGTACAATCCTGAGCAACATAGACTGTTACTCCTTGTAGCTCAGGGTCTCTTGCTTCTTCAACAGCTTTTCTAAGTACAAACACAAAACTATTTAACTCATCTCTGATTTTAAAGAAATTAACAGTAAATATACATAAATTATTTGATTTTTAGAAAATGTTGGTTTTAATTGTTTGTTGTTGGTTTGGGGTTTGTTTTTTGTTGTTTTGTTTTGGTTTGTTGTTTTTTTTTTTAATTCAAGATACCTTCCATTCCTGATAAATACAGATGGGGAGTGGGGTTTCGTTTGTTTGTTTTAAACACTGGGTACCAAGATCCAGTGCATATGGCAAGATGTTTTTCCCAAGCAAAGATGACAATGTCTGGCTATTCAGGAGAAACAATGAAAACCACAAAAAAAGCCCAAAGAAACACATTAACTTACAATGAAATTCATATTCACTACCTAATTTCTTTCTGTTTATCACAATTTTCTATCGTGTGTATTGGGATAATAAAGGCTAAATTTGCTGACAAAAATATTATTTTCAACTCAATGAATGTCTTTAGTTGACCTCAGTGCATATAACTAGCCACACATTAGCACCTCATGTCTATGGAAATAAAGGCTAGCACATAAAAAGCTGTAAGGTTTCACCAAAACTTTCAAAAAGATAATTGCAATATTGGGCTATCCTCAAAAGAGTAAGAGTAATGGACCTAAAAACTAAAAAGAAAGTAAATGTCGATAGTCTGAAGCATGATCATCAATCAAGGACAGCATTTGTAAAGAAATTAAACTGTTCAAAATAGAAGATTAGCCTTTGACTTCAATACACGCTTGCATTAAATGGTCACTATCCCTTTATTTCACAATATATTTTGAGGAATCATTTAATACAGTCGTTCTCAAGTTATGAGAGAGCTATACATTGTTAGTACTGCTATAAGAGGGAAAGGAGATCCAGGAAAGGGAACCTTTGCAGTGTTGGAAATCACTGGTGGGTTTGTGTTGAATGTAATTCTGGATCACACCCCACCCCCCCGCTCCCATTAGGTAAACAGGCTACTGCAATTTAAAGCAAGCAAAAAGAATTCTGACAGTTTCTATCATCAGAAAAAAATAGAAGAAAACACATAAATAATGCTAAGCTCTCACATCACTGTATGTATTTGCATGTATGCACACATATATAACCTGGTTACTTCAGTACAGGTTCATTTAAGATTAATGTACTTTTATACTAAGTATCAAATTCTTCTATTCACGTATTTATAGATAAACGTATGAACTTTGGCTTCTGCTGCTTAAATGACTTATTAGTGATTCAGTTTACAGGTAAACTGGAATCCACTAAGAGCATAAGCATATAAGGCTATTAAAAAAAAAACCAAAACAAAACAAAAAAAATCAGTAATATTCAAAGAAATGGCATATAAAGGCACATAGTATGGAGAAATTTGACTTTCGACTTTTTTTTTTAGCCACATTGAATGTCACAGACCCTTTACTTTTACTGGGATATAATTATAATATTAATAGTCCCATACATTTACAGTTTCACAAGAATTTGATGTGTGCAAAGAAATGCTGAAAACATCAATTTTAGCTCTGACATTTCATTACACTATCAGTACATTACAGCCCCCAGGTTACAGTATTAAAAAAAAAAAAAATCTATAATGTTATGCATGTTCCAAGGTTGAAAGAGTGGTTAGTTTTTAGAACATTTCATTAAATGCAGCTCTTCTTAAAAGCCCGGGTTTGGGAGAGATACTTGGGACTTCTACTGCCCAAAGAACAGGAAAATGGGAATGCTGTGGTTTTTCTGAAATAAGATTGAACAAAGGCTCAGAGTTCAGTTCCTGTACCTACTGCTATTTCCCTTCCTGCCTCTGAAAAATCTCTAGAATTGCTACTAATACGGACATTTTACAAAGCCAGTAATGAACAGTTAGATGCTCAATTAAGCTGAAGTAATCTCATGACACTTTGAAGTACTTCTCCTGTAATGTGTAAGGCACGGTAACAACAAAGAATGAAGGTATTTTTACCTTAAAATGTGTGCAACAACTGCAGGCCCATACCAATCTCCAGCAATTTTTCCAGACTTCTTTCCGTATTCTATTAGCTGATGTAAGCCAAAAGCTGCCAGCGGAGAGTCACCAAACCAAGAAATTATTTTTCTATGATAAACTTCATTTCTCATTTCACTGTCATCACAGTTTCTCTTTAATGTTCCCTGATGATGATTTGACAGGATCTTGGGTTCTCTTTCTGCTGTAAGTGATGCTTCGAATGATGCTGTCAGCTTTTTCACTGTATGGGCTGTCCATGATTCAGAATCTGAATTGTCAATGTCCAACGCATCTGGCCAGACCCAGGCTGCAGCAAGAAATGTTAAGATGCATATTAGGCTTAGTATTAACCTTTTGGTATAATTAGCAAAGTACATCCCTTTCTCCCCCATGTTCCTCAGACCAATAGTATGTACTTTACATACTGAGATGCAAATGTCAGTGTTAAATTGTAAACAAAGAATTCGAGGGGAATATGATATGCTTTTATTTTCTGCTGAATGATGGGTGAAACGAAATACTAACTGTACATTTCTTAGCAATTTATGCTGAGATAGGTCAGACTCCATGATCCCAGTCAGTTAAGATATACAAGATATACCCGATTACAAGGCACAGATTAGAACTACCTTACATATTAAAAATATGGAAGTTAGATATTCAGTACCATCTAAAAAGTTTTATCCATGTCAAACAAGAAGTTTCAAAAGCTATTTTTAACTCTTCTGGTTTGTCAGTTATTAAAAAAATAGGCAAACCTGAGGAATTATTCATGTAAAAACAAGCACTTCTTCCTGGCAAACCGTCAAAGGACATCAGCAGAAAAAATAGACAAGATTTCTTTATTCACTAAATTTGCGAATTCTTTACCTAGATTACAAGACAAACTTGTTTAAATATTATTCAGCGCAGTATCTACAGTCTGCATTTCTAGCTAAAGGTTTCTCTAACAATGCATCCTACACACAGCGTTCCTCATAGCAAATGGTTCAGCATATTCAGAGAACAGTAATGCTTCCCTTGTCAGATGACTGAAAGTCTCTCCCACAAGTTCAAACAACTGCTTGCAACACAGAGCATGTGAGGAAACCTCTGAAACACAGTGAACATACTGTTAGATCAGAACGTACCCTGAAGGTCCACAATGAACATCCCAGAAGGCAATGGGGAAGGCTGCCACATGCAAGTAAGGAACACACCCTACAAACCCTACGGATGGGGTGCTTTTGCTCCGTGAGCCACATTTGGGTAAGCTCCTGGAGGTTCAGAAAGCTCCCATTACAGCAGCCAGAGGAACCTTTTCAAACTAATACTGACAAAGAGCGAGAACTGCAGCCCTCCTTGTAATTTTTACTGAAGTATCCATGTAAAAGTCTTTGAAAAACAAAGAGGAAGCACAGAGGCGACTGTATTTTAATTCTAAAATCTAACTTAGGGCTCCAGTAATGTCACAAGTACTGCTGGTAATGGCCATAATCCACAGCACCCACTCTTACTACAGTGTGACAACCATCCCACGTCAATGTTTCTTACCACAAGCGGCACCCTTCTGTGAAACCTCACATTAATTTTTCACTGCAGACCCAGGCAGATGCATGCATAAGCTCGATATAACAACATCACAGGCCTTGCTATTCCTGTACTGTGAGCTTCAACTTTAAGTCAGTGTCTTGAGCACAGGCATTCAAAGTAAAACTTACCAGTACTTTAATATTTAAAATAAAAACTCATTTACAACATCATTCAGCAATACCTGGAACATTCCACATAGCAGTGAAAGTGTAGTATTCCAGCTAGTAACGGCAGTCAAGTTTTGCTTTGTAACAGAAACAATACCATTAAACTATAATGAAAACATCTCTGGGAAAAGAGTAAACAGCGATGAAAAACTTCATGTAAACACTTAAATATGTTTCAAAAGCTACCCAGACCTCATTAAAAGCTTTTCAAAAGATAATTCACCAGCTGTCAGAAGACTAGGTGATGAGAAAAGTAGTCCAGAAAGACCATACATATTCTGTTTTTCTACACATTTGGATTGCCACAGAAACACTAGCACTTTGGAATCACCAAATCACTTTCCAAATTGGGATGCATGGGGGACAGTGCAAGGAATTCTTTGTAACCATGGATTTTAAAAGATATAAACCTGGGGCTTTTTTGTTTTGGGTTACTTCAGAATGAGCCATTATGCATTCCTACTCACAGGTAGGCTTCTGATCAGATTTTTTTTGTTTCTTTAAATGTATGTCTAACAAAAGTTATATTTAAGGGATTTGTGTTCTCAGCAGAAGTATTTTCATAGACTTTGATATTTGCAGTCAGTGGAAAGGAATAACGAATGTTTTACGACTTAAATTTCTACAGCAAAAGAACATTCAGTAAGCCAATCTGGCAGTTCGATCATGACACTGCCAAGAAAGACGACTTTGTGATGCAGCTTGTTTGGGACTGTATTCACAGCTTACATCATATTTGCACAGTAAGTACAAAGTATTATCAAAACAGGCTTTCAGAACTATCTTCTACTAAAGTATTCCCGGGATCCAACAAACGGCTGAGTAAACAATACACTGTATTCTCTCTGACTACCATGCCTGGGTGGCCTCAGGCCCATGTCTTGGATCATTTTGACAACAAACAGTGGTGACAGAGGACGTGACCGATTGTTTGCAAGGGGCAATGCGGTAGATTATCAAAGGGATTGAGAAGAGGATGAAAAGAAAAGGTGGTTAATGATGAGAACCAAGAATACCTCTATGCAGGACACGGCTTGGCTTAGAAGAATGGGGAGGACGCGCACACTTAGCCTGTGAAAGTGGAAAGTGTTCCAAGTCTCCTAAAGCTACTTCTTTCAAACAGCTGTGATTGAGGGAGTATTTTGAGATAGACAATGATAAGAAAAAAGGGAAGTTCCTCTGTAAGTCCATGGGGGGAAAGGAAGGAAATGAAATGGTGCAAATTTCAACACAAAGAATGATGTACTGAAGTTAGATTAGAATCCTTCTATTAACTCAATATATTAATACTAGAAGAACTGAATAATGTACAACTTTAAAACTGATAAAGGAACATCACTTTTGCCATAGCCCACAGCTATGGGATGTGGAACTCAGTTCTGCACCTTGAGTTCGAGAAATGAGCAAGATTGAAGAGAATTGGACAGCTGCATGGACAATAACAATACCAAGGTATGGGACCACAAAGTTTTGTGGTATTTCACTTCACAGTTAGCTTCTATGGGGTTTCCAGGATCTTCCTTTGACATACCTTGGTATTCCCTTTTTCAGAAATGGAAAGTAGGTCAGCTAGATCACTGCTCTGATGCCAGGTAACAACTCCAATATTAATGAGAGGAAGTTCAGAACCAAAACCAGCATGCACTTTCCATTCTGGCTACATAAAGACCATCACACTCCCTACAGAACACCCATGCTTATCATGCCGAATATAGAGATCTTCTCTTGTAACTTACCTCTACCAAGAAAATGAAGCATAAGACCTTGAGCCAGCAGCATTTGACCAGTTCTCAGTGTGCAACCCCAACCACAGTCTGTTGTTAATGCAGACCCCTTTATCTGAGGAAATTCCTCTCTGTAAGTCAGCCATATTCTAGAAATAAAATCTTTACGAAACTCCTCAACATTTCCTGAAATCTCCGTGTTGATTTTATCAAAATTGGACCCATCTGTAGAGAGTTCACCAGATTCTGTAAGGCAAAGCACAAATTTAAATTCTAACTTGGTATGGCACTTTTGTTATTAGAAGGAAATTAAAAACATACAACTATTCTTTTAGAAAAACAGGGCAAACTTGCAAAAAGTAACAATCGCTTCAAATACAAGGAAGGAAAATTAGAAGGCAACATAATAGAAATGTGCCAGCTGGAGGGGGGGTGGGGTGGAAAAAGCAACGCAGCGAACATTACTGTGCCAATGGAATTGTTGACTTTCAAGTAAGCAACTGCTTAATTCACCGAAATGTAAATGGTCAAATAGAGAGAGATTCTTAGAAAACTGCATACTGGAAAATGATAACAAAGGTGTTGGTGTAGTGACTGTACAGGTATTGTCACTATTTCATTCAAGAGTTTTTAGAAAGAAAATCTCAAATTGATAGGTAAATGAAGTAAAGTGCAAATTACAGCACTAATATTCACAAAAAGAATAAGACTTCAGTGTAAAAACTGAATAAAGCAGGTTAGGATGGGTTGCATTAGTGGTGGTGTTGGACATTTAAATGAGTACTTTCTAAGTTTTTCGTATTTACATTTTGAATTCAGTAATTGTTAACGAGGGTCCTTCTAGAAGATTAAAAATATATCCACAGAGCTCCTGCCGAATGAGATTGGAATGCATTAAGTGCTATGTACATACCATCAGTTTTGAAGTGGTAACATTTTCCCAGCAGAAAGACTGGAGAGTTTCTACTGAAGTAAGTTTTTGTTTTCAACACCCAACCTAAAACAGATGCAAAAAAAAATACAAATTTGTGACTAAAGTATTCCAAAAAGGAACTTCTAGTAACATCTGATTAAGCCAAAGGTAACCCATGAAAGGGGAATATAGAGAAAATCTACTGAAATTGGATTTTCCTTTCATAAATAACAAAAAGTTTAATAGTTCTACAAAACACAGCTTAGAGTTCTGGTTTAAAAGTAACGATGTTACCCATATATGAATGTTTGAACGTTAATACAATGGTACGAATGCGCAGAAATTGTCAGGATACAGAAATGCTAAAGCTGAGCTTAAGTTGCTTTGTCTCTATTGTGAATTCATTACTGCATAGTTTGGTTCTGTGAGGTTTCCAACCCCTCTAATAACATACAATAAGCTTCACATGTGACTGGTGAAAATGCGTGAAGAGCACTGCTTTTCCCATAGGATTAATTAAACATACCTCATCACAAAATTAAATTGCAGATTTCAGACACAAAAAGGGTAGTATAGTACACTGTACGAAATTCAAAGAGACAGAATTCAGTTTGTCGGTTTTGACAGTATCCCCAGACAGCAGCTTTTTCACTTAAGTCTAAATCCTATGGTGTTTTATATCCTAAGTCCATAGAGTTTCTTGAACTTTTCCTATCACATACAGGGTGTAACAACTACTATTCCCCTTCCGCCACGTGGTAGCTTTAAAGAAAGTAGGAGAAAACTATCTTTTCAACTCGCCAGGCATCTCCAAGGCTCAGTTATAAGAATTAATAAAATTTATCAGAAACCTGGTGGTAAATCTGAGCAACCTCAGACCTAGAGGGAAAGTAGAAAAATTAAGGTTATGGACAGATTAGTGAAGGGCACACTTGAAAATTTGGTTGCTTATAAACAAATTACTGATGTTCGGCTGTGGAAAAGTATGTTACCCAACTGTGTGAAGCAGATTCTTCAGGGGAGTTTGTATTTCACACACCATCCCATTTTTTCCAGAAAAGTACATATAAAAATAAAAAATCTTTGCGCAGATGATTCCATATTATCCCTGTTTAAAAGTCTATGCAAATCTAGTATAATTTACATAATGTATTTACTGTTTTCAAGATAAGTCATTTAAAAATAAATTATGCAAATTTATTTGAAAAATGAAAAGCTAAACAAGTTTTTTTACTCGGGCTGTTTATAGTATCAAAGTAAAAATGGTTTCAAGGGCCATATTGCATTTTTATTGTTAATATTAGTTAAGTTTCTGAATCATGATCTCATTCATGTCAACAAGAAACATTCCCTTCATTTCAATGGCGACAGGATTTTACCATACACTGTTTCACTTACTGTATTTCATGTTGTGCCATGCAGACATAAACTTTGATTTTATCTTTTCTACTTCATCTGTCCCTGTGGCCTCCATATTCAAATTCTAGAGAAAAAGCCATCGCTGTCTTGTAAGACGTTCAATTCTGCTACTGTAAAACCAAAAATATAAACAGATCCATGGGCACTGAGAACACAGGGTATAGTATCACCACCAGCCCACTTCGGTACTTAAGCCTAACATGACCAGAAACAGTAATAAACTTGCAGAATCTTCCACTGCCAGGGACTGGGAAGCAATCACCTGTTCCATGAATAAGTAATAAAAACATTTAATTCCAAATATACACCAATAAAATTACTACACAAAACTAAATAAAATATAATGTTCTCCAACAGCTCTCTATTGCACAACAAACTGATGTAGAGCATATAACCTGTGCTGGCATATGAGTACACTCATTCTAATTGGCAGTGAAATGAAGAGCTACGATGCATTTCACTAAATAGAATAGATGCTATTCTTCTCTGCTGAATAGAATACAATAAGCACTTTTTTTTCCATATCAGGGGTTCTGAGCACCAATAAGCAAATCTTGGTTTTACAAACAGCATTACTTTCAGATTTCTAATCAAGAATTTTCTAAGCCAAAGTTTACATGAATTGGATGAACTGAAAGACAAAGTGCAAGATGTTTTGCTGTACATGTACAAGGCAGAAAAATGTGTAGTACTGAAAACGTGTCTAGTAACAGTGACATAATTTTGTACAGAATTAACCTTCTAGAGAGGTAACATCAAAAGATGATTAGAATACTGTCATAAAATCTGTGTTTACTTTACATCTCTTCTAATTATCACTTGCAGTGCAAAAAAGGCTCTCTTCTAATTTGACCATGTTGTCTACAGTAGTCCAGCTGTATTACAAGAACGACAGTGGTGAAATGGTGGTAAAAACCACTACAGTGCAGATTAATTTTGTAAAAACTGCTTATAAATTTTCCAAGGGGTGTGTGTGCACACTTTTACTGACTCTGAACTGCAAGACAAGATGGACTTCACCTTAAAAGCAACCTAAAATGGTAATAATACAGAAAGAAGCTGTACCACCTTTATCTCTGTTTCTAAGAAATCCAAGAAAATCAGACAAAACTCCCTTTGCAGTCCACCTGCACTGTTTGCAATAGGAAGTTCGCTATTAATTAATAGAGCTTCCTTCACTGCATGTATTCTGTCAATGGTTCACTTTAAAATAGTTGATACAGGAGGTTTTCTTGATGATATTTGGTAGCCCAAACCCTTGCATAGATAGATGAAAAATTAAGAGTTCCTGCTTCAACAGGAGCTCTTGTGGGACATCAAAAGTTGATCAATAGTGGTACATCACTGCAACCTTCACCAAATTTTTAGTTAAGTTCTGATAACATCAGCTGATGATGTGAACAGAAGTGAACTGTCTCATTTAACTAATAAACTTGGACCAGGAGGATACACCATCAGTGATGCTATACGTAGCCTTCTTACTTTAAAAGGAGAATCTAGAACTGTATTTACCTTTCCATGTGTTATTCTCCATTGAATTGGGATCAAAAGCAGAACAAAGACTAAACCATGTTACTTCTCTCCACTGGGAGCATATTTTAAGTAAGTAAAACCTAACCACTGATAGTATAATTGAAGAGAGAGTGAAAATGTTGGGGTGCCAATGTCTTCAGAGCCTGAGGGTACTCACGCAGATGCACTGTTTCTGGGATCTGTAGGTAGGGCAAGGAAAATAGCAGTCTACTGCCCAAGCCATCCCTAGCATGTTTTTCTGCTATTCCATTGTATTATTTCATAAAAGTCTATCAACAACTTTTGGACAGAACAAGAGGCGATGCAAGCTCACAAACATAGGGGAAGACTGACATTGTTTTGCTAGTGAAAATAACAAATGGCTACAACTCTACTTTGATTAGCCTTGTGTTAAGCTGGGGTTTTGTAGGGGAAGGAAGAGAAAGACAATTTAAGGTTGGCTTTTAATTTCCTGCCCTTTCCCCCCCCCTTTTTTTTTTTTCTTTAGGAGAAAAAAGGAAAGACTTCGTATAGACACGTATCACTGACTCTAGCTGGCAAAGCTGGTAAGATGAACTTCTTCAGGAGGTGTGTTTGGCCCAGCCTGTCCTCACATGATCAATCAGTGACAGTCATTCATGCAGAGGCCACTGATTCCCTTAAAAGCCAATACCTATAAAATCTCCCTCTGGCTAAAATTATAAATGAAACAAACTCTACTGTTCCAAAAGGACCTGAAGGAAAAATTATTGAAATGAGACAGAAGCTCATTTTCCTTTAAAAGACAATGGTCATTGCAGCACATTTTTCTTTCATCCAGTTACCTTTCTTCCCTTGCATTACGCTAAAGATGTGAAACAGACTTCTAAGAAGAATGCTAACACAAAACAGGCACATTTATTCCACTGGAAAAACGCAGGCTCTTCCCATCAATGTAGGAAGGCATCAGTAATAGTTCCACTGAAATTAATGGAACAGCATCAGGAGAAGGTCACAAGGAATACAGATTCAAGCCCAACGGGCACAATGCAACCCCCATTATTAAATCTAAAGCTAATGGTTTTATACTGAAGTTGTCTCGTTTAAAAAGTTATCTAGAACATACATTACTAGGACCATGTTACCTCACAGAGGAGCAGGACACACCTCTGAATGAAAAATGAAGTCCCATCTTCTCAGAGCCCCCATTGCCCAGCATTTGAGGGGGACTGATTGTAGTGCGGTGGCTATTTCTTAATAGTGGTGGAAAAAAACCAACTCCCTAACAACAGAATTTGTTTGCTTTCATTAACAACAGAAAAACAACCTAAGCTGCCAACCCGCAGCGAAAGGGATGAAGGCTAAAGGTGACTATCTTTATTAATTAATTGAAGAATGAAGACCCCCTTCACTGTTTTTCTACCTGGAAAGAAACTGAACTAGCAGCAATGACAGTCAGCAAAACCCACACAGAAGTCCTTGGCAGAGAATAATACCAGGAAGTCATTTTTACGGAGTTACCCCTTCTCAGCTGTAAACAGACAGTTAGAAATAATGCTTTGTAAAGGGCAGGTGAAGAAAAACAGCTTTTTTTTTTTTTTTTTTTAATCCTGTAGCAAAGAGCGAACATTTTACCCAATCCAAGGTTTAAAGCCAAGCAAGAGCTGTTCGCAGAGAAGGTGCCTCTCTACCGGCTCGTTACTACGCCGGCTCTCCCCAGCCGGGCAGGCAGGTCTTTGTATCGTCGCAATGACTCCTGCGGCTTTGTCAGCAGACGGCCGGCGGGGGGGACCCCGAACCGCCTCCCGGCGGGAAGCGAAAGCGGCACCAGCTGCCCGGCGGCCCCGCTTATTTCCCAACCCGCCACCCAGCCGTCGGCCGCAGCGGGGAAGCAACAGAGGACCGGC